CCTAGTGTCTCACAGAGCTACCACCCTGCCACAGAGAAGAAGAACCAAATGAAAACCGCTTGGATGTGATTGAATGAAAGACAGAGACAGGCGACAAGGGGAGGGATCAGAGGAGGGATTAGTAGAGTCATGCTTGTTTGAAGATAAGGTGTATATTGGTCATATAACATGACCAAAAACAGGAGATCCCTGGCTTCCAAAACAAGGGGGGGGGGCACGATCAGAGGCAGGCAACCCATGCATGCACACTAACTGAGGCAAGCAGGTCATAAGGCATCCCAGGAAGAAAAATAAATGATCCAAACAAATGGACTGAGTCTATGAAGCAAAGAAGGTGTAAGACCAAAAATAAATGGTGTGTTTTCACAGTGCACATCATCACATAGAGAGTAGCTTGGATACCAGCTGCTTCCAACTTACTTCCATATTGCTGTCTAGTGATCCTGCACTGCTGCGACGCCCCCGCTTGCCTGCCCGAGACATGCAATACCACAGATTAGAGATCGACAGCACTCCTGGATCGACTACAGACGTTTAGGCCGCCCACCAGTCCCGAAGGGGGCAGTGCAGTGGATTGTGACTGTGAGTAAGGTCCAAATATGGGCGAGAGGGGGAGAGCGCGTTCAGGTCTGAGGAGGGTGGTGGGTGACAGGTGGTACTCTGGCTGACTGTATAGTGGAGCCACATCTTCACGCAGGCTGAGAGCTAAAGTTGTATTACAATTTTTTATTTAAAACGCACTTCGAACTGCTTAAAATTTTGAATGCATTTCTATAAATCTCAACAAATATGGACTCCGGAGGCATCAAGTTAAATAGACCAAGGAAAAGTCCGCAGTGAGGTTTTTAACCAAAAGATTGAAAACCTTTGACTAGGGTTGATGCCGCAATAAAAAATGTCCCCAGATTTTGTTGCCTCGAGATGTAGGTTGTTCTAAAAGGGGGGTCATGGTGAGGCGTGGAGCCAGTCTCAGTGACAGTCACGGAGGAGGAGACACATCAAAAGCAATACAGTGGTTGTTGCACATGGGATGTACAGGCATATATAGGTCTGAGGGGGCGAACAGAGCACTATTGCCATTGTTAGGCACACTCAGCCAATGATACATGACCAATAATCACACATAAACAGGAAAATACCTGATGTGTATGGAAATAACACAGTAAAATACACATGAAATGGGAGTATGGCAGGAAAGGAAAAAAGAAAACACTCAACAAAAATGACCCCGCTAACACATGCCACATCCTGCTTTGAAAAACACAGGAGACAGGAGGGGACATCTACAGACATCTTCACTGGCTGACCTATCATTTCCCATTGAGGAAGAGATCATGAGAACAAAGCACGTCGTATTACCAACGGTGAGGCAGAACCCTGACTGGATTTCATTTTGTTATCAAGTTAATCACCCGATAACTTCACATAGCTGTTATCTGTAATGAATGAAATGTATTCCTGCTTCAGAGACACAGCGGCTGTGCTAAACACTGATATTCATGGATGTGAGATGACTGTCAACGCCAAGACTGGATCTGATTCTGGATCTTGTTCGCTGCTTAAGAATGGTACACATCAGCGCTGATTTGTTTGGTTCACAAATATATACGTGAGAGGAAATGGCAAAATGATGTTTGAATAAAACGTAAAGATTATCACAAAATGTCTTTGACTAAAACAAACTTAGGTGTGCAAAAAGTGCGAGGTTAAACCAAAAGTGAGGATAAAAACATGAATGGGAATGTTCAGAAATAAACTCATCCAGATGATCAAGGGCAAGAACTCCCGTCAATTTCATTCCTCACTGAGTTAATCTGAATTTTTAAACCATAAACCTCTGCAAAAATAGGTCTGTATTCAGTCTTTGGATTTAAAAAGCACACCGTAAGTCTCTCTAAAACAAAGTATGCTGAGGTTAAACATTGATGGACACACAGTTCAGACCAAACTCTCCAATCATATGTAGTGGATTTAAAGGGAAGGACTCTAAATTCTAAATTGATGGTGCTGTGAAACAACATTTTGCTATTTCCATCCCCTCGGTATCACCACAGAGAGGTGGATGACAGCAGGAGAGAACTTTTCCACTAAAGAGCCGGCTGGTAAAAACAAAGACGTTTTGGCTGTACCTGCTTCGGAGAGGTCTCGCAGGGAGCTGCTGAGGGCGCTCCGCTTCAGGCCCTCGCCCATGGCGTAGGTGTCGTCCAGACTGGCGCGGTTCATGTTCCCGTTGCCACCTTCCTTCTTCAGACCGGAGCTCTGCGACATGCTGGGCCTCACCAGCCCCTTCTGCTTCTCCAGCTCAGCTGTGGAAAGGAGCCAAGGAAAGACTGAGGTAAGTGGCGGGGGTTTTACGTCTCACTCTGGCCAGGGAACGACTTTATAACTTCTCTGTGATGTATTCAGCCACCGCTGTCTGGAACTCATGAATCTGATCTACATCCTGTTGCTTGTGTGTCACGACGGCTTTGCTTTTTGAATGCCCACAAAAAAAACAAAAAAACACCGCTGTCCCTCCTGTAAGCCATCCTGTGAACTCTGTAAACATTCTCCCTCGTAAAGTGCCGCAGTCGAGTAATGAAGACCATGCCCTGTTTTCTACTTTGCACAGCCTGAGGTAGACAGACTAAGAGGGGGGGGGGGGGAAGCCAGCTCACACTCTATTCTGTATTTCTCCATTTCCTGGACCTCAGCAATGGACTCTCGCAGGTCGTCTGTGAACTTCTTGCGGTCCTGTGGGTTGGGCGCGTTAAAGTTGATGAGGACTTTGATGTCTGCACCTGGTATGGCTGATGTAAGTCTGATTCCATTTGGGTAATCTGGGGCGACGGCAAAGAGAGGGAGAGACATTTACACAAGGGCCATTGATCAAAACCAAGTTAAAACACATTGGGGCGAATCCGTCTGAAGTTTGGAGAGTTAAAACAAAGTCACAGCCCATTGGTTCGGCGCTGCATCAAACCCCGTGATGTAAACACTGTCAGCTAACACGCCACGGGCATGAAGACGGAATAAAAGAAAAAGCCACTTACATTGATTTTCAAACAGCATGACCTGCATCCCATACAGAGAGAAGGACTGTCTGAAGCTGTACGTCACAGAATTCTTCTTTTTCTGGAAAATCTTGGTTACCTGAAATCGCACAGAGAGAATATTTTACGGGTTCTGAAGAGAGAGAGAACAGAGGAGAAGAAAGGAGAGGGCTTTTACCACTAGGAGGTCGTTGAACAGGAAGATCTCCCGCTGATGCAGGCCCAGCTTCTGGAGCTTGTTGGGATCCGGAACTTCAAACAGACGGCAGTAACACACCAGCCGGCGATGGGGCAGCGACAGCACCTAGAAGGTAGAAAAAAAAGGAGCACAGACACAAGCACTTCAGAGGTCGTTATGGCCTCGGTCCAAGATGATTTGGGAAACAGAATTTAAAGAAGGTATCTCCAAAGGATGACACATTCACAGGGACATATGGGGAGATGTGGTGTTATTTTGGATACCACTGTTTAGTGCCTCTTTATGTAATCTGACTCTGAAACTACCTGTTTGATGTGCATTAACTGCAACGTCCAGGGACAGAGACGGCAAGCTGTGCACGTACAGTGAAATAATCAATGAAAAATGATCAGATATAGTATGATGTATGGATATGTAGCCTACTCACACATCCCAGGCCGTGGTGGAGTGATCCGATCTAAAAAGAGAGGGCAAAGAAGATGTGTTATGCAGCCGTTATATTAGGATTATTAACAATACTGCCTCTGAAAATTGAATCTCTTCTGCTTTTATAATGAGCCCATGTAAGGATTTGCCCTTGCAGAATGTGCACGATAGACTATAAAAGTGGGCATGAAGATGAATGAACCTCTTGGGGTCTGTATACAGGGGGGTGGTGATCTTTCCCGGCTACCGGACTCGAGGGAGTCTGTAACGACGCTGGAATGAAAACCGATCCAGCCAGAGAATGCCAACCCTGAGCGGCACTACAGGACCCGATTATCACGGAGAGGAACTCAAATGTGCTTTTGATGTTACAGTGTTTTACAGAGTGTCCTCCTGAGCTTTTCATTCTGCAGCTAAATGGTGACGAGGGAACATCTTTCAAGACATGCAGCAATTACAGGCCGAGCAGAAGCGATTCCAACTGAAACAAAGTCCTCCATGCGAGACGAGCCTCTCTCCCCGAAGCTGCATAGGTTAATCACACTTTTAACCTTCACACGTGAAAGAGACATCATCGCCTGCAGAATAATGACAAAATGCTGCTGCCCTGCTCCTGAGGGCCTGGAGCACAGTCTGAACTACATTTAATAACAGCTCTGGTTCAGTATTCAGACACAGAAATAAACTGACTAATGATTAGTGAATCAATGGATAATTGTAATTCATGACACCAGATGAATCCCTTGATTCAACCACTTCTCCCTCTAAAACTGTGTTAGAACTCTAATGTGCTACGGCAGCAGAAAGTGCCCATTTTTTATCAGACTGCAGCACTGGGTGACATCTCTCAAGGGCTTCGGGTGTTTTAAAATCAGCAGCGTGAAGGTCTTGAAAAGTCCGGGCACAACAATACCCAAAGGTAGAACACAGTTTATAAATCTTCCTGTCCCTTCTAGGAACTAAACTCTTACATTGCGGCATCCACAAGTCTGGAGAAGTGAAAAGTCCTTCTAGGCCAGAAGGCGGTAACATTTCTGATATTAAGTGTTATTTTTTAAAATGTTCTTTTTAATAAATGTGCCATATCAACATTAATGATAGCATTAAGTATTAATTATGACACAAAATTAAAATGTACAGATACCTCTCCATCCATATTGGTAACGTGCAAAGCAACATTTATCAGGAGATTGTGATAATATATGACTGCAATATGCAAGAAGGCTGGCATCCTTGTTTATCAATCAAACTACTGTAAATAACAGGCTGCGTAACTGCCGAAGGCTCTGAATGAGGTGATTTGTCATTCAAGTGAGAGGGCTCTTCGACATTTCCCAGAAACCCTCTTGCACACTTGTTGCAAGTGTGTTATCGGTGGCTGCGAGTACAGATTGGAGCAGAGAGATTAATGTCATGCCTTGAAAATTGTCTCTTCTTTTTACTTAATAAAGAGCACTTACTGGTTTCTTTCCCACAATGAGCTTCTCAACCTTCTGCACCTGCGAGACGTGGTCTTCATTGGTCTTGAGCTCTCGCTTACGGATCCTCTCGTAGATGCCGACCAGAGTCTCCCGAGGGATATCCTCCCCGTCATCCACACCTGGCACACAGATTAGCAGAGCGAGGAGAAAAAACGCACGTAGTAAAATATCAGTTCATATGTTTTGGTCACTGATAGCGTATCCTTATCATATCAGCGATTGGTTTCGTCACCTCTTAAATTCTTGATGAAGTCCTCCATCTTCATCTTCCTCTCGGGCTTGACGTTGGGGCTGTACATGTCGGTGTTGAGGAGGATGATGGCGAACGCCAGGATGAAGATGGTGTCGGGGTTCCTGAACTGCCGCACCACTGTGGGGTTGCAGATGCAGTAGCGCTGGCTGGAGACATGAGGCAGGAGAGCAAACATCTCAATTTACAGCCAACCTCAGATTACAAAAGTCATACACAGCCGTGCTCATAGTGAGGAAAACACTGCCAGAAGAAATCAGAAGTAGTGCTAGAACTTGTCCTTTTATCTACCAACAATTACCGTCAGCTCAGAGGAAACCCAGCAGCAATGACTTTTCAAATATCAATAAAAGTCTACATAAAACACTTCCAATATCATTTTGAAAAAGCATTATTATATGCTGCGTTTCTTTTTTTAACACAGGCTTATTGTATTTTAAGGATGTGTACGTATAAACCCAGCATAAGTGCTTCCTCTCCTGTCCTTCAAAACCCACAGTCATTGGCTCGGGATTGTTTTTTTTCCTCAGTGTTTTTCTGTGCAATCATTGGCCCGTCTTTGCTATGTTTAAATGCGTCAGTGTGTGATCTCGACGCATGGTCTGACCTGAAGGCTTCGATAAGCCGCTCCACCTTCTGTGCTTCGCCCTGAACACGGATGTGGTTCTGAAATTTCCTGAGCGCCTCGTCCAGCTCCATGCTCTGGAAGTCCATTTCATCCACCACACAGCTGATACGCAAGAGAACAGATGGCAGAAGAAAATTAAACACAAACATGGCATCATTGATCGTCACCAATTCTTTTTTATCTTACAGGGCTTCAATTCTATCACATTTCAGTGTTTATAAAAGAGGATGTTACAGGATTCTAATCACATTAGCGCCATGAGTAAATCTTACCTCCTACAGGCTCTTTATGAGTTGGATTTTATGGAGTTTTTGGGACTTTGTCCCTTTCTTCTATTAAATAAGCTATAACAACGGCCCCCATGTGTTAGTACACACTTAAGTATATATTATATAAGATCCTGGACTTCACCACTTTCACACAAGTTTTCATTTTACACATTTTGGGTCTTTCCTTCCTTCGCTCGCCTTTATCTAATCATAAGGAAGATGGCGGCGAATCATACTCACTCCAAGACATCTCTGTTGAACTGCTTCTGCCGATTGCCGAGGAATTCTCCAATCATCTGCCTGCTCAGCCCCTTCCTCTGCAGCAGGAAGTGAGCTACACCGACCGGTGTGTCGGGGATGAATCCCCTCTCAGTCAGATACTGGACGCCCTTTTCTGGCTTCCTGATAAATCCAAACATTTAGAGGTTGGTCAATTAAAAAAATTAAAAAAAAAACCTGGAGAGAAGAATCTGCAACTGCTTACTCCTGAATTCTGAGAAAATACATGTTGTCAATTTCTTGAGGAGTCTTTAAAATGTGTATTAAAAGTATTATTAAGACATGGTTGATTCTCTAACACACTAGAAATGCCTAGCTATATATTATGGACACATTACATTGTGCTTAAATTCTTTGTCCATGTAAATATCTCTGTATTTTATATTAATACAGTTTAAACTACAACACACAGTGAAATTATTTTCCAAGAGACTTCACAAGCGTCACCTCCATTAATCACTGAACACACTGGTCAAGCGTCTGCTCGAGCAGAGCCGAGTACCTACTTGTTGAAGAGATTGAGGCCGATGCGGTAGTGTCTCTTGCGAATAACATCATTACTGAAGATGGGCGAGTCCCAGCTGTTGCGAGTCTCCTTGTGGTAAGTCTGCTTGCTGAGCGTCTGCTCCCGCAGGCTGTCTCTCGACGAGGACTCGGAGCTGCAGTTGATGGTGTCGTTGGAGTTGGACGTGCTGTTGATGCTGTCGTTGTCCCCATCGGAGAAGTCCGATTCGGACTTGCTCTGTCTGTTGGCCGAGCCGTTGATGGCCAAGTGGCCTTCCAGGTGGCGCTGGCGGTGGCGCAGGGGTGCTTCGTCGTCGCGGGAGGACGCTCGCGGCGGGGGTCCGTGGGAAATGTGTTTAGGGCTCGCCTGGGATGACGTTACGATGTGGCCGTGCGGTTCGTACACAGGCGGCCGTTTGACAGAGCCGCGGTCAGACCGGTCGCTGAGCTCTGCAGAGCTGTCACTCGGGGGTTCTATGGTCAACAAAGGGAGATGGTCCATTCTAAGACGCTGCTCTTGGCACTCTAGAGAAGGAGTGCTGCGGCAGCTCGTGTCTGTGTCACGACCCTCATCTTTGGGGTCAATAGGCCAGTAGTCCTGGGAGGAGTTGGCTGACCGCAACCGCAAGTCTGATTCTATGCTGGAGGGCTGGTCCCCTGACCTGGACCGAGCGATAGAGGGGGGCATGTCCTCCTCGTCGATGAACAGAGTAACATCGCTGTAGGATGCCAACGTTTCATCGTGCATTCGTCCAGCTGCCCTGCGGTGGGACTTCCCCTGATAGGGCACTTCCCGCTCCACCTTGGAGCAGCCCATGGCCTCGGGGTCCGGACCCTCGTCCCCTTGAAGGCTGCGACAGTTCAGTGCATCATCTATCGACTCCGCCAGAGATTTGACCTGCCTGGAAAAGGCGTCCTCCAGCTCCGTGATGGCATCTGTCAGGTCCCCCTGTGGGGCTGGGTGAGACGCCATGTTGGCCTGTTGGTGCACCTCTATATCGCCACATTCAGACTGCACCATGGACAGCGGGGCGCCGTCCTCCGTCATAGACACCTGCCTCCCTTCAAAGTAGGAGCTGTGCACTTTCTCGGGGCCCTCGAACGAGAGCTGCATCCTCATGTTGGAGAGGACGATGCGTCTGGACATGCGGTTCTCAGACATGGAGCTTCTGAGACGTTCAAAGTTCTTGTTCATCTGATACTGGCGGAAAGCCGTCTGGATGGTGCGGGCCGCATGCCGAGTTATGAATCGTCCACCATATTTACGCTCCAGCATCTCCACCTAGGGGAAAGACGGGAGTAAACGGAATATTTTATGATTTCTCAGCTATGCATGGTTTATAAAGACATCCTCCTGGATGCTACAGACGATTTGCATCTCCCTAGTGTCAGTGGCTCCGAGACAATCTAACAGCTTTTCTTGCTTTATTTGTACCAAGAATAATCTCACACAACTGGATTACTGATACTTAACCAACACACAATTTATAATTTGCTCATGACGCTTTTAAACTTAACTCCAAAGTTAACTGCTCAGCAAGGCTACTTTGGACTACCTGTTTGTCCTGGAGGTCAGCAGAGAGCTCGTAGCTCTCAGAGAGCGAACGTGACCGCTTGATGGCCTCCTCCTCGGCCTGCTTACGGAGGATGGACTGCGAGTGCTGGAGCTTGGGCCGACGGGGTCTCTGAGGCCCAGGCTGAACCCCGTGGCTGTAGAGCGGGCTGTCAAATCGGTCAGGACTGATTGCTGAGCCGTGAGTCACCGGGCCCTGGCCATAGCTGGCTCCCCCATCCAGGGGAGGGCCGCTCTCATTGGGCCGTCCATCCCCTTCCACACTGCAATAAGAGAGCAAAGGGACGCTTAGAGATTTCATCTCGTCACTACACAGATTAGACAATGAGAATGACATTTTTGAGTCAGAATTTGATGGAAGGATTATCAGGTTAATCACAGCTGTCTTCCTGATACAACTCATGAAATGTCAGAACAAAAAGTAGTTTAACTTCAGGGATTCATGGCCGATGCTATAATATAATAGTCTAGTCTCTGTTATGGAATATACAAACACATATGGCTTCACAACGCTGATTCTACAACTTTATGACATACAGAAAAAAAACACGTTTCATTCAACTGCCTAAGCTGCTTAATCCTGGTTTGTACCTGTGGAATAATTACTCCTGAAAATTTGACAACCTGCCACAGAATCTGCTGTGCCACATTGAAAAGACACCGATGCCACGTAAACACTCAAAATATCAAACACATCCAGTCATCCGTTGTCGACTAATAATGTCGAAAAGAAACAAGGAGGTTACTCACTCACTCTTACATTCTGCCGTACTACAAGAGGACAGCCTATTGCGAAAAGACCGTCTGTTCTCTATAAATTGCCAACTCTTCCTCCATATCTTGTCCACCATTCTTTCAGTCAAGTGAGGTCCAGAGTACACGGGCTCCTCCAGGAAACTCGAGGTATGCCACCTTAAGGGCCAATCAGTAGCCGATGGGAGTTACATCATGTTTGCTGCAGCGACGACACGCTGTTCCAATACACGTTACAAAGTCCAGTTCAGAGGGGAATGACAGAGCAAATACTACTTTAGCGGTCCTTTAGAAATAGCCGAGTCGTGGGTGTACGTGGTGCCCACCTTTTCCATAACCAACATTATAATAACTACCATTTCTTGTCCTCCATGGTACAGTGCCTTCACTGTTTGCAGGCTGCCTAATGTGTTTGAACTGTGACTCGACACACCCATACTGTGTACACAATCCACTTCCTTCATTAGACAGCCTGACATCAACATTCGGCAACAACAGCTTGCCAACAAACAGCAACCAATACGGAGTGAAAACGTGGAACGGAATATGGTCAAAAGTTCACAGCAGATTTCACAGCAGATTTCACGTGACAACATTAGTGACTTTGTATTCAAAACTGAATGCAGATCTTTGGATTTGCAACCCCACCGTGCACGCACGCCAGATGATCATTCATGGTTCACTATATGCTCAATTAAAGCCCAGCAGAAATGTCAGGCTTGGGCATGTTGTCTGTCTCAGTCCATTACAATGCATACTTATCATTTTGTACATTTTAATCTAATTCACAACCTACAAATGTGTCCCTTTCCGTCTGCTGATTCTTGTCTGAGAGAGAAAGTGCAATGTAATATGAATCCAAAGCTTGCGGTAACTGATTACATCTCATACAATTGAGTCACTTTTCACTTCACTTTTCTAAACAGAAATGCTTTTGAGAATAACCTCTTATCCAAAAAAAGGGCAAAGATTTGAGCGTGAAATATTAAAACATCAAACTACCACTAATTATTGATCGAAAATATTTGATTCCAACATTTTAGATGGCGTTTGGGTGCAACAAGAAATATTATCATGTCTTCAAGTAGCATAGGTGTTCACTTCCACTAAATGCTTCATCAGAATGAATTCCCACAATAAGTCGCCTTCTTCCCTTCTGACCCAATCAGGGTCAGCCACGGTGACACAGGAGAATTTCATGGTACGTAAATGCTGACCGAGAGGCAACAGGTACACACAATGTTTAAGTGTGGAAAAGCAACAGAGGACGCCTTTATACTGCTGAACCAACATAAAACCTTGCACAGTGAGAATCATACTTTATTGCATAATTGCCATTGTGACGAATCTCACCGACCATCTGTCGTGGCAAACTGCGACGCCGCCATCCCTGGAGCTAAAAGTCACACCTTGCGTGCTGTCACAGCTCCAGGGTACAGCCGGTGGTAGTTTCTGGTTTCATTATTTCTTCATTAAGAGTTTGATTACTGACCTGGATAAAGTGCTGATGAAAAGAAGCTTTTGGGTACATCAGTTTATTCATATTGGCATGAAGAAAGGGGAAAAATGTGTTGAGCCAAGAGAGTGATTGTGTAGCACGCGTCGCAAATTCTAAAACTTGTTTAAGGAACTTAAGGCAAAAATATGAAAATACATGATCAATATATATGTGGCAAATGTTTTAACAACTGCGACATGGATTGCCATGAAATTTGGTACATAATCATGATTCTCTCAGGAAGACTTGTTAGAACTTTGGTGATCCCCAGACTCTTCATCTAGCACCATCATCAGGTCAATTAGTCCAAACTTTTGGTTTCCGAAACTATTGCGATTCCCATCAGCCTCAGTTGTACTTTGTTTTTAGTGCTAATTAGCTAATGTTAGCATGCTAATATGCTAAACTAACATGGTAAACATTATACCGACTTAACATCAGTATGTTAGCATTGTCATTTTGAGTATGTTAGCGTGCTGCGGTTAGCCTTTAGCTCAAAGCACGGCTGTGTCCTCAATGAGCCGCTAGTAGGTTGTAAAGACTTAGTTTTAGTTTTATCGACATATTTATTGTTGTTTTCTCTGTTCCATCTTATTTTTGGCTCGTCAGTCATCTGTGAAGCACTCTAAACTGCACTAATCTGTGTGAAAGTTTGCTATTCAAATACAGTTTGATTATTTATGTAATTTTGTTTTGTGGTGGTTTTTTCCGCTGTTCTATTTTGTAGTAATTGTCTTTTTATTGTTTTGCCTAATTGTGTAATTATTTACGAACTAAAAAAAAAATTCAAGTTATGAAATATGACAATGTAAAGTGGGGATGAGAACTGAGTCGAGATTAAATAACTGAAGAAACAATAAACCTCAAGGTGCTTTTAATAGCGACTACAGTGCTCATTTGGGGTTTGCTCTCTCACTCCGTCACCTCTAAAAACATTCAAGGCACGAAGTCAAAACTAAAGCTGTAGTACTGGCTCCGCCTTTCCCCCAATGGGACCAGCATCCTCCCTTCCACTTTTGTTCTTTCTGCTCCACTTTCCACCGACCAAGAATCCAGAGGAACGAGAGTGGGAATAAATGCTGCAGTACTTTTCGCTCTGAGGTCATCGAATACTCCACAGAGTGAGGTCAGTTGTTCATGATGGCGGGGAAAAGGGGGTAAAAAAGGAAAGGAGAGCAGCACTTTAAGAGCTGTAATGGATGTTGAAGGAAAACAGAGGGACTGGACTACAGCAGAGCAGGAAGTGGCGTGACGTTATTCCCGAGAAGAGACTGAAGTCACATGGTTCAGGCAGATCTCAGGAAGTCGCGTTATCATTTATATCAACACGTATCCATAATTTATGAGGATTGTAGATGTTGAGAGGTGAAGGATGAAGCACTTTCTAAAAAGTGACTGTACCCTCGGTGAAATATGATCTCACAACATGAGCAACAACTGCTCAACAATGTCTGTCGCGCAGTCTGGTCTCTTTATCCACCGGGAGCCCCTGTTAGTTTCTGATGCAGGCATGGATAAGCATGTCAGCTCAGCTGGCAGTGATTTTCAGCCATGGGATCCAGGGATTTGGGGGGGGGGGGGGGGGATCATCTCTCGTTCTCCCCTACTTCCCTCTCAACACGTCCTGAACAAAGAGGCCCAGGCCTCAACCCGTTCCATCAGTCGGACCTGAGGGAGAAACATTCCTCCATCCCGGAAAAGAGGAGTCACATCTACAGGAGTTCTGGGAATAGAGGAAGGCTAATGAAGTGCAGGCTGGAGCTGCGGAGGAAGAGAGAGCGGCAGTGTGGAACTAACGTAACTCACAGGCGAAGTCGCAGGGAGAAGTCTACAAACTGCTTTGTTTTAAGATGCTCTTGTCGGTATGAGAAAGTGGAACTGAATTGTGATCTTAAAAGCCATTGAAATGAGCATTATGCTAAATATTTATAGAGAAATCTTTCCACATGCACTGCGTTTAAATGCACTACAGTAATCTGACAACTCCCCACCCACCTGTCTAGACTTGCCTTTGTGTAACTTTTAATTATTTATTTCTTTGCATTTATTAATGACTGTTGCCTTCATTTTAGCGAGTTCCTGTGAAGTTCTGCTCTTGAAAGGTGCTATGGTCCGTTTTAAACTTGACAACATAAACACCCTTAATGGGCCCCTTTGTATTTCCTGTTGCAATGTTTGTTAATGTAGTATCTGACAGGAAGTCAACTTGAACCAAAACTGTTGAACTAGCAACACACTGGCAATTAAAAGGTTCATACAAATGAACTTACATACATCTCACTTTTGGCAATAATCTCAAGTCTGATCTCAGAAAGGCCAAACACAAGTTTAAGGATCAATAACTACAGTGACTGCAGCGATACAAACTGTCCAAGTGTATGGGTTTCTTAAAAAGTGAGCACATGGGAAACAAAAGTAAGTAACATTGAACTCATGCATGTTAGAAAGTGATAAATAGATGAACACATTATACCGTCTTGCATTGGCAATCTTCAATTGCAACACCAACAGGGTTGCTAAGGAAGTCTGATCTACCTGATGACGGATATTTTTGTCCGTGATGCACAAGCGGCAGATGGTGACGGGAATCTGATTCCCTCACAAGGGTGTTTAAGAAAAAGTATGTGCTATAACACTAATGCAACACATATAAATGCTTTATCAGATCATTTGCCAATTCTGTTTTTCATGCGGGTATGTAAACATACAGTGAACTGACCCTTTTAATCAAATTGAACAAATCACAATTCTCACCCCCGCATGCACTGACAACATGCGCTACGAGCCCAACAAAAGCAGATGTTTCCTCTCTTCACAGTTACTCAGAGAGCTCATAAATACAGATGCACGCACAGGTAAAAGGTTAGCAGACCACACAGCAACAGGTTAATGAAATCCAGCATTAAAAGGTAAATGTGCCAGTAAACACTCAGGTACATCAGTCATTGCAGCACCAATAACCACACTAATGGAGGATTTTGTAACAGCTATAACCAGAGAGCGAGGAGCAGG